CTAAAACACTACTCTCTCACAGAGACTGAAACGATTGAAAGCGAAAAACCCTGGGTGAACGACAGTTACCTGTACTTTTCCTATGTCAAGCTTTGAAGTCGAGAAGAGTTAGTTACGTGGCTGTGGTTCTATTCCCACTGTTGTTTAATTTCTAACGCTCACGATTGGCAATGGTTTTCTCTCTCCGGCCTTTCCCGCTTCTCTACTGCACGGAGGCTTACACTCTTCCTACCGACGGTTAAAAACCTGAAAATTGAGTCACCTTTGAAAGCGAGCTCTCCTTCTCTGCTCACACAAGCGCAATTGTCAATGAAGTACAGAGCTAAAATAATATCCTCAAACCGCTAGCCGGTAGCACTTGGGGTAAAGATATAGAAACTTTGTTGGCGACATAGAAGGCAATTGGCCGGTGGACTCAGTAGATGAAGTTTCAGACTTGCCGAAATACCGAACTCCGGACGGCAACGGAATTCCTTCTGACATCGACTGAACACCACCTTCACAGCAGACCTCTAAGCTCCCGGTAATGAGCAGATTCATCTCCCAGGCACATCAGAGAGCATCCTTATGAACACAATTAACAACTGGATGCTGTGGCTCAACTCTTACTTATCCAGACTCGATCCGGAAACCGAAATATTCTCAAGTTACAATATCGAGTTGATTTAAGGCAGTGGCGTGATATTCATTGATGCATATACAGGAGTAGCTACTCTTATCTTGCGAGGACTGAGTAGGCTTCTATCTCGGCTTTGGCTCTTGTCCAGCTCCTCCATTATACATTATTGTAAAAAAGTCGATTTAAAAAATAAAGAATAAAAATTCTTTATCTGACTTTAAAATTTGCTAAGTAAAAATTATGCAATGACAAAATCCGTGCTCTTTAAGAAAAAGTCGAAACTATATAAAGGAAAGCACGATGGATACCCAACCATATTAAAAATGCTGAAGGTCATTTAGTTCAAATATTTATTATCTTTTCACCAATTCGAATAAAAAAAGAAAATGTAGCGCTTTGGGAATCGCAAAAGTATCTCCTTAATAAATGTATCCACCATTTGCCGCATACTGGGTACCGAGACTGGATGATGAAGTCGAAATGGATGTGGCTGGCGCACTGTATGACACCGCAGGAGCTCTGTAAGCGGGCGCTGGAGCGCGGTACGAACCAGTGGAGATACTGCCTGACGAAAAAGCTGGCGCCCTGTAAGTAGCAGCTGGGGCGCGGTAGCTACCAGCAGCTGGTGCACTATAGGTGGCAGCGGGTCTTTGATACTGAACCGCTGGAGCACGATAGGCCGGAGCAGAAGCGCTATATGAATTAGGAGCTCTATGTGAAGCCGACAAACCGCTATGACTGACGGAAACGGGTGCGCTATAGACTGGAGCTGGAGCAGGAGCGCGATATACATTTGCCGAAGCTGGTCTTTGCACTGTAGCAGGGGCAAGATATTGCCTCGATGGTGCTGCGGGTACTGAAAAACCGGATGATATACTTTGCGATAAAAATGGTGCACGATATTGGGTTGGGGCAGAAGCATGTTGTTGAACGACTGGGGCATTGTAGGTAGCCGCCGGTGCAGGATAAGATACTGCCGGCGCCGAAGGTGCGCTATAACTTGCAGATGGAGCACGATATGAGCTCACTGCTTGCTTTTGGACTGCCGCTGGAGCAAGGTATTGTCGCGATGGTGCAGCAGGCACTGAAAAGCCACTTGTACGTGACGAGGAACTAAATGAGCTCGATGGTGCTGAGTAACGATGAGCGCTGCTGCCAGCACCGTTCGAATATCCTGTAGCCGCATTAAACGTGACGGTACGAGATCCCGATGAGGGAGGCAAATAGTTACGCGACAAATGCGAGACATCTGCGTTGATGCATACAACCATAGCGAGTAAAGTGATGCTGACTAATGAATTCTGGAAGTACATATAAGGAGAAGTTGTGAAAATCCTACTAAATAATAAATATTATAAATGTGAATATGTATTTGTGAGTTCATGAGTGTGCGAGTATGTTTGTTGCTCTTCCGCGCTAAAACGGCTGGACGTATTTCAATGAAATTTGGTTCGCAAATAGTCTTCACCTGGACTAATATAAAGGATATTCTTCTAACAGAGTTTCCACCTTTTCCAAAAGTTAAAAGACATGCTTCATAAGGTTTAATAATATATTACAACAATGTGGGTATCAAACAAAACGCGCTCCAAAACGATTTATTTCGAAAATATAGTTTAGGGGTTGCCACCTGTTAGAAAGTTAAAATTGATTAATTAATAAGTTAAATGAAGTATGCCAATATGGGCGATAATCAAATGCGATTTAAGACCTTAATTACACCTGTGAGAAGTTGAATTTCATAAAGTTGAGGGCCGTCTTTTTTACTGCGAATAGAAAAAATTTAGCTAGTGCATGCACCGCTAAAAAGTTTAAAATAAATAATAATGTGAATAAATTCTCGCACACGCGGAATCGAAACATTTCTCTTCGCGGCGATTTTTATTTTAGGCGCAAAACATATTTTCTTTTCTCACTAACTTCTTTTCATCCGCTCTCTGCCGAAAGTGTAGTTCAACTCCGCACAGGTGTAAATATGGTCTAAGAAAGCTTTGGTTTGAAAATATTTTTAAAAATGGATGCCACTTGTTTAAAAGTCAAATTAAATTTAGTCAAACACTTAAATTAAACATTGCAAAATGATGTCAAGTCAAAAAAACGAACCTCAGCAGGGCTTTGCTTCGAAAATATTTTTTAAAAAGCTTGCCACCTGTTTAAAAGCCCAATTAAATTTAATCCGCTGCTTTAATGAAATACTTCAATATGGTTGTCAACGAAAACGGGTTAAGAAATGCTTTATGTACTTCGAACATATTTTTGAGGGAGTTGCCACCTGTTTAAATGTGAAATTCAATTAAATGAAATATTAAAACATATTCGTAGAGAAAAATCAAGGTTAACATGAAAATATGTTGGAATGGTGTCAAGGCCAATTTGCAGACCTAGTACTTAAATCATGATTTCAATATACAAACTTCGAAAATGTTGTTAAAAAAACAGTGTAGCTGAAATTTAATTGCGAATCCGAACATAAGACACAATGCATAACCGTTTCAATCTAATGTAAATAAAGAAAACAATTGCATTTATTGGACCTTTTAAGAAATTTAAAGTTTTTTGTTTATATTTACAAACATTTTTATGGCCAATGTTATAATGCATTTAACTAAAAAAATCCTTTAATTGAAATAGCCAATAATAGGCATTCAAGCGCCTTTAAGGTACTAAAAAACATAAAAACCCGAGAATCGTACACTGAACACCCATTTTGTTTGTGGTAGAAACTAGCTTTTTATGCCTACCAAAATGCATGTGAAAAAAGAGCTCAAGACTACGGCTGGAAGTTAATATTAAATTTTCATGAGCTTTACCGATGGTCTTATTTCTATCTACGAAATCTCTGCTAGGGGTGCATAATCGTCTTTATGATCTTGCAACTACAACATTGGAAATTTAGAAGCATATATCGTCGTTTAAAGTACAAAACCGCGTATGTGAGGTTGCATAAATTTTTTTTCTAGAGAGCAAAAGCACTCATATTTCAAAATGGTTCTCTTTTTTATAAAGCAATCGCATTTCTGGCTAGTATATTTCAGGACGAATGGATAAGGATTGAGCCAAAAGCTTGTGTGAGTAAATCCAATTTTTGGCAGCAAATGTCAATTACGCGGTTTTGCAGAATGACGATACGCGGTTTTGTACTTTAAACGACGATTTGTATATACATAGTAAAATAGACATGTTTTTTCGACAAGTTGGCAACCCCAATCGCAAGTATTTTCAAACTTAATCTTTCATAAAACTTATTCGTTTGATACTCATATTTAAATATATCATTAAACATATCTTGTGTATAAGTTAATAACTAAATTCGACTTTTCAAACAGGTGGCAACCCTTTTAAAAAGTATTTCAATTTAAAACCTTCTTGAATCTCATTCGTCTGACGTTGGGATGCATATTTGAATTAAGTGATGATTTAAATTGAATTTGACATTTCAAATACGAGGCCACCCTCCTAAATAAAGTTTTAAAATAAAGCCGTTTCAAACTCATTTTGGTTAATATACACCTTTTTGTAATTAACTTATCTCACTAAATAATGTGAACTTAACTTTTTAAACCAGTGGTGAAAAGGTCAAATACCTCGGAAATAATCTAAGTTACGTTTTCTCAAATAGCTTTTAAAATTTATCTGCCCTTCAAAAATATTTTCCAAAACAAAATCTGTGTTTAAAACCTACTTGCGAAAACGGTCCTAAATGTTCAAATTAAAGATTTATTTCCACTCTTTCGTTTGGCACACATATTTTAATATTTCATATAGCTTGTGCATAACTTAATCAAATTCTACTTTTCAAACCGATGGCAATCCTCTTCCAAATATTTTCAAACTAAAACCTTTTAAACATCTTTCGTCTAAAAATCCATATTGCCTAATTGCCGCAAGTTGAACTCGATTTTTTAAATATGTAGCCTACCCTAATAAACATTATTTTATTTCTATAGCCATATTTTAATACAAAAAACTCATCCTTTTCATTAACTATATTGAAATTGAAGATTGTGTAATGTTTTTTTTTTTACTTTTAAAGGTAATACATAATTAGCGTGACCTGATGTGCACAACATCTACTTTTCCATGTTAAGGATCCACTCATTTTCCCGTACATAGAGAAGACGGCCGTGAATAATCAAAGATTTTTAGTTCGCTAGGCAATCTATCAGCCAGGACAGTGAAGGGGAAAGTGCTCGATGCAACTGTATTAGAAGTCATTCCCATTGAAAAGTGGCCGCAGACAAGACCAACCTCTAAGCTAATAAAGAGACGTTCATGCATATTCTTGTTCAATAATAACCAGGGACATAACATTTATAAGTTTTATGGCAAAAACTTTGCTTCATAAGAGTTATTAGAGGCAAAAACCTGACGTTTCACGCCTGAAAAAACTCCAGAGGATGGCTCTCTGTCGGTGACAGGAGCAATAAGAAGGTGTCGTACCGCGGCCTTAAAGTCGATGCTAGGCTGGACCCCACTTCAAGCATCCACAGCTTCGAGGAATTCGCAAATGCAAAATTCTGACAGTACTTTTAAAAACAAGACACAACACAAAGGTATTTTGAGTAAAATACCAGGTATAAAAATGCGTGAGTTCTCCGATGCTATGCCAAAGAAAATCTGCTTTGGAAGGTAACTTCAGGTCAAATGGTTTACCTGAACTAGATCCCAGATATGTACAGTGGTACATAGACGGATAAAAATGGTGGGCAGAACAGGACCGGGTATCTTTGGACCAGGCAGCAAACTTTCTATTTCAATGGGTACTTGGTCCACGGTTTTTCGGGCTGAGATATCTACTACCAATCTCAATTTCTGCAAGACTGAATCGTGAAAAGGGTTTAAAAGGCGCTTTTATAGTTATATTTTCAGATTGCTAGGCGGCCATAAATGCCCTTTCCAATGGGACGATCACTTCCAGGCACGTCAAGGAGTAATAGGACACTATTCAACTCTTGTCAGCAAGGAACACGGCATTACTATGCTGGGTACCAAAACACTGCAGGATCGTGGGTAACTCGTCTTCCGTACTTGTGGGACCGGAACCGCTTTGCGGACTCAGAACCCAGTAAGTCTTGGGGAGAGGTTGACTTTTAGTTATCTTTTCGCTAGGAAAGACATACATCTTCTGAACAGAGTCGATATCAATGTGCTTGTGGGCTATCTGACGGACCATAATCATCTGCGCTCTCACATGCACCGGATTGGTATTTCCACAGACAGGGATTACCGTCATTGCCTTGAAGACGAGGAGACGTCAAAGCACATTATGTGTGATTGTCCGGCATTGGGCCAACCTAAGACTGCAAAGCTTGTTATTTAGCTTAGAGTCATCGCTCAAAGTTGAGATGGAGCCGGGGTCGAGCTTTTACACTGTACCTTTCGCTCACAAAGAGAACTATTTTCGAAAACTTATTATCAAAGCAGGATATTTAGAAATCCATAATAAAACTCTGGTCACGAAAAGTATCCAGTTATGCCAAGAATTTTAGATAGACTTAATTTTTTTTCGATTTGCAATGCAAAAATCACTTTGTTATCTTATTCATGTCATTATGCCATTATGTATGTACAAGTTTGTGTATTCAAAATTCAGAGTTTTTTTCACATTAAATTATCAAATTATTATTCACTTGGTTCGCAATTATTTTTTATGCATAATCATACATTTCTCAGCGAAGCGTTCAATCTAAGCACCAAGTTAGATTATCTAACGCATTTTTATGCATTTTTTAGGAAATACTAGTTGGCAATAAGCATATTTATGTACGTTTGTCCCATGCTGCATACCACTAACCATTTTAGCACTAATTTCTACACGAAATCTCCAGTAGTAGATAGTCAATCTCTGTACTTTGTTTGAGAGGCGCGTTACGTTTTTTCGTACCCGTCCTTTGTGGTTTGTGGTGAATTAAGAACTGCTGCCGCAACAAAGGTAAACACACCAATTTATACTTGGAAGAAGCTTCAAAATTTTTTTTTTTTATACTTCTAGCTTTTTTCATTTTTTCGCGCGCCTATTTTCCAAAACAAACTTAAAGCTGTGCCATAAAACCATAACACAACAGCACAAACAATGTAAGATAAACATACCAAGTAACAACATTTATTTACTTCTTATATTTTTTGCAAACTTTTTTTTTTTACTACATTTTGGACGCTGCTGAGCTAATCGGTTTTAGGTTGTCAGTTTGAGTTGCTGTCATAGAGCTTGTTCTTATTGTTATTGCTGTTGTTAATATGCGCGAGAACAGAAGTGTTGATACTTGCCGATCCTCAAGCTCTCACACCCCTCCCAACTCGACTCCCAAGGGTG